TAAGCAATTTTTTTTAAACAATATCTACTTTGAAAACACAACTACACTATGAGAAACAAAAAGATATATGTTTTCATTTATAACACTTATTAAATTGTTAGTTACGCCCCTCAATGTATTTAAAATTTATTTGTGACTGCTATTTAAATCAAAACTCTAACTGACCGATCATACCAAAAAAGTTTGATTTATTTTAGAATTTATCTGTCCTTTTCTGTCAAATAGGTACTCTTTCTCAGAGTTTACACACTCTGAGAGAATTATATTTAAAAAGTTTTTTGCTGAGAAATTTGTTGCAACCACAGATACATTTTTAGCAACAATTAAAAAAATACATTTATGCGACTAAATAAAATGCTAAGTAGTTTTGTCGCTATACGAAAAAAAAAAATGTTACCTTTGCAAATATTTTTTTTTTCAGATATATAATCAACAAAAATAAATCTTGTTTTTAAAAGTAGTTTTTAATGACTAAAAATTTATTTTCTGTAGTAGAAAATTAAAATAATAATATGTATATTTTCTATCATAACAATTCGCTTTTTAAGTCCAATAAAAAATATTTTTTAGCAAATCACGTTCGATTTCGTTCGATAGCCTTTTAGTTTGTGCTCGAGAACATTTTCGCGTAATCCGTTCTCGGTGACAAGTAGTGATTTAGTTTTAAAGTTTAAATTAGCCAAGATCCATCATATCACGTTGTCACATCGAATATAGGTCGGTTTGTTAAGTGACGCCATTTTACCTCATGGTATGTCACAGATTATTCACTGAATAAGCTGTAGTATCATCTTAATTTTTGCAATTGTGCATGAGTTATTCTGTTTGATGTCTGATAATGGATTATACAGAAAAACTGAATCATTTGGGACTACAAGATTTTGTTCAAAATTTTAAGGGTAACTACCTATATAACGTATAATATAAAAGTATTGTTTACCTACTAATTTATCGGTTTCAAATGTATCGACCCCTTACTTTAACGTTAATTAAGGAAAAAACAGTAAAACGAAAAATTTTGCAATGTTTTTTTTATTAAGATATCAGAAATTCCTTCTCCAATTTTGATGGAACTTGGTAAGGCTATTTCGAGTACTGAGAGTTAATGTTTAAGATTAAAATTATTTGTTCCAGTTGCGTATTTCTAACGAAACGCATGAATGTCAGTGTTTTTTAATATTTTTATTAAATTAAGAAATAGAAAACAAAACTTTTTTTGTAATTTACTTTTTTTGTACCACTTTTTGACAAATTTTTTTGACGGCGGATTCGCCATTTTGTAAGAACAGCAAATAAAATAAAACAAAGTTAAACATATGCACATCTGTATAGCGTTTATATATGAAATAATCTAAAATAAGAATGAGTAGAAAAGATGGCAAAATTTAATCTTTTTACCTTATTTTATTTCATTTTGTTTAAAGAATTTATTGTTATATGTAAAAGCTCATGAGCGAGGGAACAATTTTTCAAATATACTAGAATGTCTCCAGAGATGTTTGATAATTTGTTGAAACTTATTGAACCACATATCAAAAGAGTCATTGTCAAAAAAGCTGTGATTTGATTGGTACATTATTTCTTTTTTTATTTTAGTTATCTGTATAAACCAATGTTGTTGGCCCTTACTCCTAATTTTATTTTATTTGCTGTTTAAACTCACTTAAGTTTTTTTAATGAAGTTTGACAGTTTTACATAGGATTCGGTAGACTGATTCATTTTTGTTGCATTTAATAGTTCACCTTAGCTTTTGCAGACCTTAAAAACCTAAAACTAAATATTACTCAAAAATACCTGACATTAATTTTTATCTGAATTTTTAACCTACTGAGCTATAGGGAAGGGGGTTTCTAGGACCCACAATTGGTGCTCAAGTTTATTAAAATTCGAAATTTGCGTTTCTGATAAAATAGGATTTTTTTTTTCTTAGATATTAACACGGAAAAAAATTGTAGAACAAATTTCTACAATTATACATTTTTTCTCTACAATAAATAGTACATATAGGGACAGGGACAATTTGTAGTAAAAATGTTCAAATATTTGTAGAGAATGTATTGTAGAGTTATTATCTACAATATGTAGTAAAAATATCTAAATGCATCATAAGAATTGTTCTACAAATTGTTATAATTTTTGCTATTCATTGTATGAATTTATATTAAAAATGTATTGCGCGTTTTATGAAAATAAATACGAAAATTTTACTCAATAAATAGTAAAAATTCATACAAATTGTAGTAATTTTTAATAAAATTTGTAGTAGTATTCTATAATTATTATAATTATAACCTAGAAAAAATGTTCCTTTATAAAATATTCAATTTATTGTTTTAATATAAAAGATACAAAGTCTTAATTACATTATGCAATAAATAATAGTAATAATAGCGCCCTCAGTCTCAGTTGGCTTTTCTGCATCTGAAAAATATGAAATAAAAATTAATAACTATTGAACTGTTCATACCCTTAAAACGGGGATATTTATCACCTTTACACTGATTTGAATATTAAATGAGTAAATCAGATAACTAACAAAAATGAGAAAGTAGGTATGTCACAATTAAGACAAAAACATCATTGAACTTGGCACAACATTTGATCGTTGGGCACAACATTCGATCGTTGGCAACTATTTTTTTAAAAATAATCTACTAAGGTTATTTAAATTAGTTATCTAAAGGTAAATTATTCAGAAACAATAATAATTGTACTTACCACTAATAGAAGTTATTATTAAAATTTTCTCAAACGCATCGGTACTTATAATATATAATGTGTTATACTCGTATGTACCATGCTTTGTTTTGTGAACATGGCGAACGGCTACTGCTGTCTGGCCATTTATGTTCGACGTCAGAAAACGTTGGCCAATAGCAGAATTCTGTTTTATTCACATGACTTAAAATTTCTACAATATTATAGAATATTTTAGAACAAAAATGAATTTTTTCATAAGAAGGGAAGTATTACTATTTTTAATTATTAATTAATTTTAATTATCAATATTTGTACAAATTTTTACAGAAGTTAGTAGTAGAAATTACGATAATTGTAATAAATTTCTACTTCTACAAACAATAGTAAAATATACTAAACATTGTGGTCTTCTTTCCTATTGTTGTAGAATTTTATTCGACAATTCAATTGCTACAATAATGAATAGTTTTTAACTATAAATTGTAGTAAAATTTTCTACAAAAAGTTAAGTATTTTTCTACAAGTTTCTACAACATTGTAGTAAAATTTTCTAGTCACATTTTTTTCCGTGAAGGAAGGATCGTTTGGAATGGCCCACCCGGTAGATAAAAGAATGTTGTTTTTATGTTCCTACCTAGTTGATAATCCTAATGTCATAGATTTTCTTATTCTTTTCTATTTTATAATAAACAGAATAAAGTATATTTAGAATAAAATTTCTTTTAAGTTTTTCACAAACAATAAATACCGGATTAATTTAAAACTGCTCATTTAAAATTTCTTGATACATATACCTCTAAAGACAAATAAGTTTAAATTATAAAATAATATATATTTTATATGACATAATTTTTAAAATTCAAATACATTTTTGTTATGTTTAGCAATATACCTAATATATTTATTATATAATAAAGATGTCTTTTATTTTTGAAACCCTTCCTTGCCCATGTTGATCAGTATTTACATTACAGGTTAAATAAAGTTTTATGTAAATTATATAAGCTTAATTTTGCTCTATAAAATATATATAGTTTTTAATTTTTTTATTTTTACAGGGCTGGTTTCATTATGAACAAATATAAAGATCAGTTATATCTTCGGTTAAATTGGAAATTCACATTTAATAAATGCAAAACATTCTTGTATTTCGACTTTAACTGAACTTTATCTGTTTATAGAAAAAAGCCCCAAGAGCAGTAGAAATCAACCCTAAATATCAAAATTTGCTTTTAACCATCAACAAATACTTTTTAAAGGTAAAAATGAACTGTATAATCATTAAAATCTACTTTTTAAATGTAGGTATAAAGTTACTTTTAAACCACTACACACTACTTTTTAACCACTAAAAACTATTTTGTAAAGGTAAAAAATAATTCTTTAACAATTAAAACTACCTGTTAAAGGTAACAAAATACTTTTTAACTGCAAGAAAAATATTTTTTAACCACTAAAAACCTACTTTTTAACCATAAAGAACTACTTTTTAGTGAGTAAAATTTTACTTTCTAACCACTAAAATTAATAAAAACTAAAAAGTAGGTACGTTTTTAGGGATTAAAAGGTAACTCCAAATAAGTGAATTTTTTAACCGTAGCACAAAATAGGTACTTTGGCTGTTGCCTATTTCAATAGAGTTTTTTAAGGGTTAATACATTTTTGCTACTACAGCGAAAAAATTCTCTCAGTGCAGAATATATTTATTTTATTTGGTTTTTGTGTATAAATAGCAATTGTCTCTATTTTAATTGAGTGATAGTAAGTACCTACGTATCCAATTTGTTTTTACAGAATCCTATTTTAAGTAAAAATGTCAATATTTACTTACCTATTGATATGCTAATCTAAACAAGCGGTATAAATGAGTGAAGGATACCTATATAGATACAAGTAACTAACAGTTCAAAAATAAGTTTATGGTCAAAAATTTAAATAATTCCATTTCTTATTATAATAATACCGATTAGGTACATTACCTTTTCTAATAAAATCAATAATCATACACATATAGGAACAACTAAATAATAAGTACTTTCCAAATCTATCCAAAATCAATGTATCTACACCCATACATAATAATGTACCCATAATCAATTTGAATTAATACTAGACACATAAGGACAAATGATATAATAAGCCCAAATCACGCTAGCATCACTCAGGGCGCAATTTAACTAAGGGGTCATCAATTGTCCCTCCTGATTTACTCAATAAACACGGGGCGGGGCTTAGTCATTCCTAGACTCCGCCTACCATAAGCATGGTCCCACTCCAATCCTCGTCGATCCAGTTCAGTTCTGCGAGCTGAAGTAGCAGCACTACAAAAAAGTCGTCGAACAGTGCCAAGTTGAAAGTTATTTTTGATGTTCGTATAAACAAACTGTGTGTAATAGTGAATTATTTGCGTGATAAATTTGCTTACCAAAATGGAAGACTCTAAAACTGAAATCAAAACTAAATTTTCCTTCAGTGTCGAATCGTTATTATCAAACAAATCGTCGAGACATGAAATAGTCAAATATGAAGATAAATACGATGAAGACATCGACGATTCTAGATTGGACACTTCTAGTGAACGGTTAGATGATGAAGATGACGAGAATATTACAGTCGATGACGATGATACCGATGGTAGGGAAAGTTTGAGTCCTAATTCGTCGCATACTGTGATTATTCCACAACCTTTACATCCTTCAATACCGAGAATGTTACCCGGACATCCTCAATGGCCGTTTCAGTGGATTGGACCCAATGGATTTAGATCATCTTCACCTCAAAGTAAGTATTATACATACTACATAGGTATTTATTTGCTACTTAAAATCTAAATCAGAAATCATCGGCAGGCAATGAATTGAACTTACAAATGTAAGAAGTATAAAAATGTATACCTATTTTAATTTTAAATATTTATAGGTATTAGATTTTTTATTGTCTTATTCATTTCAATATTCTGTTAATTAGGTAATATAGGCAGATATACCGAATGTCTCAGCTCAGCCAATTATTTGATGATTTTAATATAGATTACTATATTAAAAACTGGGCAAAATTGTACATCAATTTTGTTTTTAATTGAAACGCTTAGGTATTAGGTATGAAATCTCTTTTGATAAATTTCATTTGAATAATAAAATTGAAATTTTAATGGTTTTTTAAGTAAGTTAGGTACTTTATGTTTTTGAAATACCTACTGAAAATGTTTCCAAAAATTTACTGTTTGAGCGAAATTTAAAAAATCCGTCATTTTAGAACGTTTGTTTTTTAATTGTTACCTAATATAGTAATAGTAGGTACTTTTAATCGATTAAGTAGTTTAATATTCTTATGTATTTTTATTCTGCGTTGGGTACCTACCTACAAAAGCTATCTACCAATCTAAGAAATTATTTGTTCTAAAAATGAAATACCTACAAGGTAGGCATTAATTGCTAAATTAATCTTTAAAAATTGATAATTTAAGAAGATCTACCTACAATAACTAATTAATTTTACCCTGGGTCACGAAAAATTAAACATAAATTAAGTTTAGTTAGGTACATAATTAGGTAATTTATTGTCGGATTATAGCAAAAAGTTTTAGGTATAGGTAAATTTATTGGCCATGTTTAATTTAGAGTATAGTATAGGTATTTACTCAAAATGTATATAAATTAATTAAAGTAAGTACCTACGTAATTAAAAATGATCTAAATTTGAGTATCTAAATAAAAGAAACTCACATAAGAAGTCTTTGCGTTCTATTATACCTATATTAAATAAAAGTAGAATAATTAGAATATACTTAATACCTACTTAGATTTTTTCAAATTAACATAGGTACCTATTGTTAATCCTGAATAAGCACGGGCTTAAGTAACCACTTTTGGATGCGATTTTTAAAATTATTTATTGTCTAAACTTTTTAATTCAACTTGAGCTAGATTGTAATGCCAAGTTTTTTATCAAACATTTGATTTTATAGTAATTATTGTGCAAAAAGTAACAAAGTTATTAAAAAAATACAAATGTAGATATACCTAACGACTTTTCACAATAAACAGACAAAGTTGTATTATTATTATTCTTACTATGGCAATCCTCTTCTATTACACATCTTTTACTCATTGATTTGTCATTTGTGTCCTCTATGTATTTCTTTAGCATGTCATTTTCTACAGTTATCAATACCTACATACTTCTTCTGTTTTCATAGAACCCGCATCAATGGAAATGTTTATGTAATGTATACATTTTTATTCTGTTCATCATTACAAACTTGTAAGATGAAATGTAGTTGGTAGAAATTTAGCCAGATTTTTAGAATCATATTCAGATTATAGGTAGGCACACTTCTCATCTCACGATTATTTTAAAAGTTTTAATGGGCGTATCCCAAGAAATCTCAGAAAATGCTTATAACCGTCTTTAGGGTAATAAGGGGGCACTTAAAATAATGTCAAAATGCAGAGCTTACCCCCTCCATCAGCCTCCTATGCGCTACCTACCTCAACAGAAAATAAATACTTGCCATGGAAAGCTATTAAAAAATGCTTTTCAACGATATAAGATATATTATATATAGGGTGTTCCGATAGTACATAATTAAAATTATATTAGGTTGTACTTTCCTGATATAATATGTAGTTCATGAGATATATCCATTGTGAGTTTTTAAATTTAAGGATACCTACATAGACTTTTGATTGTATAACTTGACTGACAAAAATGGTAATATATATTACCTAGATTCTTTCTAATAGCATATCATTTTCTACTTACAGAAGAAAATGTTATTTACTAGAACAAATATGAGCCATTGCTGCATTAAGATTTGCATTAGGTACTTTCAATATTTTCGCAGTTAGTTTTTATCACACAGAAAAAAGTAAATTACTTAAAAATAAGGGAAATATACTCTATTGAGACTCATACTCTAATGTAATCCTAAGTCATAGTTGAACAGAATTGACATAAAACAAAAAATATCAACGTTAAAATAATTTAAAATTGTTATACTTATGAAAACATTGGTGGCTGCAGAAAATACGATGTAAAGCATATAGAACGATCAGATGATAATAATAACGTTCCACGAAATATATGCAAGACCATTTTTGCTAAAATTTGAGTCTATACAAAAAAAGTACCTATTATACTTAAGTTTCAAGGAAAAAATCAATTATTTAAAATAGGTTGCTTAGCGTTTGACAGTTACCTAGGAATATTGAGTTTATTGAAAACAAAATAACAGAAAAAATAAAATAAATTAGTTTTAACCTATCTTCTCCATTACAGAGCTATGTCTCCATATTTTGAACCATTACACTAATTAATATATTCTATATACAATATATTTATCCTATACGGTTCCTACCACGTTATTATTATTTTTGTTTTGTTTTAACAATCATGCCAAATTTCTTTTTATATATATTATTAAACAATTAATTTCTTACTTCACTTATAATTAAGTACATTCTTGAAATTCTCTTGTTTAATCAATTAGGTATGTTGACAATGTGCAGTTATAATTGCCTGATCAATTAGTGCTTTAATTAATAAAAGCTGCAGCTGTAAATGCCATATAAGTGTACATACAAATTATATTTTTTGCTGTAAATTAATTACCCGTTTGTTTAAAATGTAATGGCACTTATTATAATAGAGAAATTAATATAAATTTTAGAAACATGTATGTAAGTTTTTTAGACGGTATAGTCAACTCATTCTTATAGATATTAGGTATATAGGTAAACACGAAGTTTTTCTTTCTTACTAAAGAGTTATCGAAATTTTATTTTTCATTAATAGAAGCTAGCATGGTAATTTATCTTCAAATATTTTATAATTAAGGCATACCTTATAATAAAGTTTTTCAGTTGATATTTGGTCAAAACAATTATTATTTAAGAAATTAATTCGACATGAATCATCAACATTAACCATTACCAGCAGTATCTATAGGTATTTTATAGTAACTATTACCCATTCAAATGTAATTTTTACAAGTATGACATTATATTCATTGGCTTAATAAATTTGCAACATTTCTATCACCTGATCAGATCAATAAAAAAGCCCCCAAAAAGATTCAAAACTTCATAAAAATATCTGAATCCATTGAGTCGACAATAGCTGCTTGTTATAGGCACAACAAAAGATCTTTGTCGCATTGTTGAAACATTTAAAGCCATACATTCCTCCGTATACCTATCACGCACACCTACAATAATCTTAAATTAAATACTTACGAAATAGTTTACTACTCTTTATCATTTTAATTTGTACTTTCTATTATTTACTGAGTGTTTGGTTAAGAGTGGATACTGCCTATAAAAGCTTGTCGTAGAATTTTGGAAAAAGCAATAGAAATGGCTGGAAATTAATTTAAAGTTTCAACTTCACCACAAGAGAGTGGTAATTCCTATGGCCAATGATGAAAATTTTTAATACGAACTTTTACTTAATTTTGCATGAGATGATAGAGAATTGGTTAATCTATTTATTATTTATCATATCCATTAAACACTCTAGTGGCGAAGTTAAATTTGAAAATCATTTCTTGACCACTTTTATCCTAAAGATTTATTTGTGCTTTTCTAATTTAAAGGCAGTATCGGCTCGGTGGCTCAGTGTGTTGATCGCTCGTGTATTAAATTACTGACTATCGACGCATAGGTTCAAATCGCAGAGAATACCTTATTATAACTTTTTCATTCATTTGCATGGTTCGTTGTATTAAGATTTGATATTTGATGGATAGCGTATTAACATGGATATTATTTCTGTTGATACGACGTCCGAGTAACCCTCATCTGTACGTCAAATGGCCCCAATATTTATATGTAAGTAGCCCCTGAGCGCCACGGCAAATAATATTTTTTTCGTCTTTAGTTGCGAAAACTTGGGTCATTAGCCTCAAATAATATTATTATTATTATTTTGTAATATTGGTTTAAAATTTAATACTATATTTTATATAAATATTTTCAACGTCTGCACATACATGTGTATGTTTATACCTAGGTGTGATATTATAGATACCTAGCAATAATCTCGTTATAAACCTTATTGCTAAATAATATATTTTAAATAATAATTTTTTTTTCAGCGAATCTACAGAACCTTACTACAAATGGTGGACCCCCAATTGTGAGGTGTGCCCTTAGAAAACACAAACCAAATAGAAAACCTCGTACACCATTTACGACACAACAGTTGTTAGCGTTAGAAAAGAAATTTAGGGATAAGCAGTACCTTAGTATAGCAGAAAGGGCTGAGTTTTCCAGTTCTTTAAGGCTAACAGAAACACAGGTAATACATGATTTTACTTATATCAATATTTCACGTAAGAGCTTTTACTAATTCGTTATTAATAACTCATCTTACCTATGTTTTATTCTCTTATTCTACCACTAAAAATAGAATTTAAAAATTAGTTTTTTGGCAGACACAAATTTTTCGACTTTTATATTTGAAAGGCACTGACTGATATTAATCACCAATCAATCATCCCGTAATTTAAGATTAATTAAAACAGAGAACAATAATCAATTTTCTAAGTAGGTAGGTATATGTACTTATACTTAGGTACGTTCTAAATCAAACATGAGCTGTTATTGGTACCGTTGGAAAGCAGTTGACTCTTTTTCTAATAATGTAGCTGGGGGTGGTAACAAGTAAAGGTGGGGTGGTGACAAGTGCAAACAGAGGCGGTTCGGTAACAACGGTATTTAGGTTCCCCCTTTTAATCAATGTTTGAGCCATTTTCTTTCTGATACCTATAAGAGACTGAATGTTTTCGAATTATCGCCCTGTGGATAGGTAGGTAAGTTTCTTCTCTTTCAACTATTTAATTAATCTATTCTGGTATTTTATTCAATATAGTTGTTTAGGAAAACTAATCGAGTATTGAAATAATAGCTTATTTTATCTATATGTCGTTCACTTTCTTTTTAAAACGGGACTGGCTATAAAAGTCAGACATAGGTTATTGTGTATATAAGTACCTAGTAAGATTGACATTTTAAATTTATTTTTCGCTAACGTTTCCATATCGCTTTCCGTAGCATGACAGTATTTTTTATGTTACTCGTACCTATTATGTTAACAAACCGAAGCTTATTATAGGTTATTTGAACAGTTATAATTTTTTTGCATGGACAAGTAAATTATTTACAGAAAATATTTGATTTTGTACTTAAATTGTCAAAAGTATATTTTCTATGGTCACAAATATAATTCTTAATCTTTTTATAGTAGGATTTGGAAAAATTGATGTCACAATTTTCCTTCTTTTAAAATGCCAATTTGATTTAACTCGTATCTCTGTTTTTCTCGGTTATCGTCTATTTTAGAAACATCTTGCCAAAAATGCCTACTGTTTGTGTTAATTACATTGCTAGATCTTTATTTGGTAAATTAAAGAACGCCACATCGAGATTGTTAAATTTATTCATGTGGCATATGTTACTTATGCTATACCTGCCCCGAATTTCATATAAAAACAACCACAACCACTTTGCTTGGTTGACATTATAATATAAACCAATTATAGACTCAAAATTTAAAATATAATTTCCGGGATTTTATCAGACATAAAGCTAATGACATTTATTTGTACAAACTGTGTACGTCTACTGTCTGTCACAAACGACGTTTGCTTTTAGTTAACATCTGAGAAGCGTAGATGGCGCGATCATTGCCGTGGTCGTTGCGTCTCCTATCTATATGTCCATATCTGATTCCGTGGTTTTATCTACATCATACACTGGTCGGGGAAAGGAAAAGGGTATAAGGTACAATGACGTACTGTTTCGGCAGGGTCCATTTATTATTTATTATTAAACTCTTTATAACCTATATACAATAATATACATGTTCAATAGGTCTTCTGAATCAAAGTTTAATTTAAAGAAACAATTTTCAACATATACCACAGTATTCAAAAAGCTTTTCTGTATGATTTATTATATATTAAAATAGTAGTTTAAAAAGCTGAATTCAATGTTTGTAGAGCTAGTAAGTTCTAATGAGAATATAAATTCCATTTTTTTTAAATAACGTGATATAAATTATATAAAAACATTTTCATTCCGTCAATCTTTAAATTTAAAATTAATCAAAATACGACTCTAAGTAGCTATTTTATTACACTTTTCCATCATTCAAAGTGCGTCCATCTCTCATATCGTATGGTTATGCAGGGCCGCCGAGAGCCAGACCGGGCCCCAGGAAAATTCTCTAGATCAGGCTCCGTGACAAATAAAAAATATTCTCTCCTCTTACTTAAATTTTTCTACAAAAAAAACTTTTCCTCCCCTACCTGAATTAAATTTTCTAAGAAAAAAAAGGTCCCCAACCAAAAACTTCCCCCTCTTGTCTTGTGCCGGACTTCTGAAAGACAACAAAAATCTTCGCCGCAGTTGCCGGGCCCCCCTAATAGCACTGCCGGGTCCCCATTTGATTCCGGGCTCCGGGAATTGGTCCCGGCTGCCCCCCTACTTTTCCAGTAGATAGTTTTTTTAGTTTTGTATAAAATTACAATTCATAATTCACATTAATAAACTTTCAATAAATTTAAATGAAATTCTTAAAACGACGAGTATCGGAACTAATCGTTACCATCTTAATATCTCATCGTACCGTTTTATATTAACCTTTTATGCAAATTTTGAATTATTTACGAGGTCCCAACAATCGTTTCGGAATTTATAGGACTTTAAAAGTTTCATTCGCCATAAATAATGTCAAGAATACTACCTGTGTGTGTTAGGTTAATTTTAAGGTAGTGGCTTATTATCCGCCTATTTCGCTTTGGTAAAAAAAAAATTATTTTCTTATTTTTTACGTAATGATAACTAATATGCAGTGGAGATGGAACAAAAAATACACACAACATTTATGTTTTTTAATTTGAAATGTATAAAAATTTAACTTTAAATTTTGATTGTATTTGACAATAATAAAAAATAACTGCTGTGTCATTTAACTTTAAACGATCGAATAAAACATGCAGATTGTTAAAAATAACAACACCTTCATAATTCTAACAAATGCTATAGGTTGCAAAATTAAGGAAAAAGTTTTATAATAATAATAATATAACAATACTCTCCCTAATTCACCCTCTTACGAATGAATTTTAACCCCTGAAGTCGACTGAACGACTTGTGTAGGGGAAGGGACGGCTATTATTATTATTTGCCGTGGCGCTTCGGGGCGACTTAAAGATGATTGATGGTGCCATTTGACTTACAGGTGAGGAAAACCCGGAAAACCTCACCCACCATCATCTAGACGGTAATGCATGGCGATTTTTTAATCTGCATGTCATATCAACAGAAATTGAATTTCTATTAATACGGCACACATCAAATTCTGAACCGAACCATGCAATTTAATTAAAAATCCACATGGTCTGGTCTGGGATTCGAAGCCCAGCAGTCTGAGACTCATAAACTTGCCTATAAATGAATATAAGCGCGTTAGACCGCTACACTACCGACTCGATAATAAAGTTGTGTAATAGCCGCTTTTTTTAATGTAAACTTCTGAGCAAAAGTTCTCCATAAAAAATTATTATCTAACATAAAAATAGTAGTACTCACATAAACAAAAGATTATCAATAAAAGTAAGGGTCAAAAAAAAACTTAAAGAACATGGCGTAATACTACTAAAATTGAATAGATTGTAGGATTCTGTGTCCTCCATTTATTAATGGGCGTATTTAGTGAAATTTTTAAATGTTTATTTCTAATAGATAAAACAAAATATATAAAACTTTTTTTTTTTATTTCAAACAAATTATTTTTATACCTAATTACAAAGAATAAAAACACACTGATCAATGATCTTAAAATTACGTTAGAATGAAGCGTAAAGTCTTATTAGCTTTGTAGGTTTTCTTCGCAGACATGACAAATATTTTCTGATCTCGAAATTCGTTTTTTAAAAAAATATATTTTATTATTTTACAAGTTTTATTTCATCTAACAATACATCTAACTATCAAGAGAGCGAATTAACAAGTGAAGTAATGCATATAAAAATGTTGTAAACCAGAATAATGAAATTAGATATGCGATAACAGTTTCCAAGAAAATAGTCGTTGACTCTTCAATTCACATAAGGAACGTTGACGTAATTCCTCCCTTCGGAAATTCAACTTCGAGGGTTAACGAGGAAGTTGAACATTGGCCAGGTCTATTGGTTGTTCTTGCTTCTTTTGTGTGTGGATGGTACGAAGTTTTTTGATAGCTTTTATTTTATCGGGGTTCGGTTTGACGCCCTCTGGAGTCACAATGTGACCTAAGTAGGCAACTTCTTTCCTTAAAAATTCGGACTTGTCCAGCTGAATTTTGAAGTTTGACTCTCTAAGACGCTGAAAAACATTTTTTAAGCGTTCAATATGCTCCTGCAATGACGTCGAGAAAATTATTATATCGTCTAGGTAAACAAGGCATTGCTCGTTTTGTATACCTCGGAGAATATTGTCTATAACCCGTTGAAATGTCGCTGGTGCCCCTTTTAAGCCAAATGGCATTCTTAGGAACTCCCAGTGACCATTTTCAGTTGTGAATGCGGTTTTTTCTATATCTTTTTCGTCCATCTCGATCTGGTGAAACCCACTTGCCAGATCGAGAGTGGTAAAATATTGACATCTACCGAGTTTATCTAATAAGTCGGTGATGTTTGGAAGGGGATATTTATCGTCGATTGTTTTTGTGTTTAACTGTCTATAGTCTATTACAACCCTCCATTTTCTTTCTCCCGAGGCGTCCATTTTCTTTGGTACCACCCAGATAGGGGATGACCACGGAGAATTACTAGGGCGAATTATTTTTGAGTCTAACATCTTTTTAATTTGATTCTGTACTTCGTCTTTGTATATGAATGGATATCTGTATGGTCGTGAATAAACAGAAATTTCATCTGTTGTATTTATTTTGTGTTTGATTTTATTTGTGAACGTTAGGGGTAGATTATCTTGATGAAATATATCTGTGTATTCTTTAATTAAATTAATTATCTGTGATTTCTCTTCTAAATTTAAATGGTCAGTTCTGAATTTTGAAAGGTCTAGGTTTTGTTTAAAATTTTCGTCAAAATTGTTTAAGTCAAATTCTTGAATTAAGTCTCTATCAAATTTTTCTACATCTATTGGTTTTGAAAAGTCTAAAGTAATTGAACAGGTAGAATTGTTTAGAATTGTCGTCAATGCTTCGCCTTTTTGGCTATTGTAAGACATTCTGGTATTTCGCAATTTCCGTATTTTTGATGTGGAATTATTATTTCTCCGTTAGAAACAGTA